TACCTGTGCGATCAGTAAGGCCTCCAGCAGCTGTCCTCTCCCACTGAAGAACGTCACCAGTTTTTTGATGTCTCCCGTGGCGACGCAGTACGGGATGGCGTCGTCATTATCCTCGGCCATCAGCTGGTCTGCTCTCCTGCCACGAGCACAGGCTGATATGAAGCGTGTGGAGCAGGAATGTGAGACTCGATAAACCTTATAAACCGTTTATTTATCGTGACCTTTGTGGCCTCGGCAACAGGAAATGAGCCGGGACTCGCTGCACTTAAACACGTCATGGACGCACGATCGCCTTAAACCTTACAAACAGTCGTCTGTGCCGATGGGCCCGACCTCAGCGCGCTCATTTTAAGTGCAGGTTTCATGTCAGAAACGAGCAGATCCACAGACGCTCGGTGTTACCTCTGCATGAGCTTCTTCCAGTACTTCATGGAGACTCCCGGCGCCACAGACAACGCTTTCTCCCACTGAAACACACAAAACACTCACATCACTGCTCACTCAAACTCTTCCTGCTTTTTGTTTTAGTCAAAGTTTCATTGGAACAGTGCGTTCACACACACACACACACACACACACACACACACACACACCTGTCCCAGCTCCACCATCAGCTCACAGTATCGTTGGGTCTGTCCCAGCCTCAGATGGATATCTGCGGCTTCCTTCAGACGCTCCTCTTTGCTCGGCGCTCCGATTCCTCCTCCGAATTTGGACATCTTCACGATGGTCAGCTCCTGAGCTTCAGACTGGAAGAAAACAAAAGCTGAGGCTAGAAAATGATCATTAGAATTAAATGTTGTCTGATGTGCTGGGGCAGATCGTCCACAGGTTAGCAGCAATAGAGACGAGCTGCACGCCTGCAGCTGCAGGAGCATGAGGCAACAGTCTCCTGCTGGATCACAACTCAAGCAGGAACAGGTGTGGCGGTGACTGTGCACGCTACGTCAGCTGTGACAGTGAAAGGACCAATCAGGACTCACGGTTTTAAACTTGAGCAGGTGCTTCATGTGCATCACTCCTTTGCTGTAGCTGGCTGGGAGCAGCGAGTCGTCCTGGCCGTTAATCACTGACACCAGGTCCCACAGGTTACTGCTGCCACCTGGAGGCTGCCACACACACACACACACACATACGCACACACACACACACACACACACACGCACACACGTGTAAAAACCAGCACGCTGATGTGTTCAAACATGTTTAATCAGTAATCCAGCCTCTCTCCACCACAGACTGTGGACACGCGTCCTGCTAACATGCTGATGTTCTCTGGCTTTACTGCTGCTGCGTTTGCAGGAGGAGGGGAGGAGGAGGAGGG